TATTTATTTTTTATTTTAATTTTTTTGCATTTAGGCATTCTTATTTACAATACTATTTATAATTTATATACAAAATACTATTTTAATGCAATATAAGGCTAGTGCCATATAATTTGAAATCGAAAAAAGAAATTCAAGTAAGTTAAATTTAAAGTAAAACAGAAAGTATTTTTTCAAACTGCAGAAGAATAATTATAGGATTTTCCCTGGCAATTACATGTGTACATAACAATGAAAGAATAAGAAATGAAACTAGTAAGAAAGTTTTTGATTTGTACTTGCTCTATATAATATATATGCTTCGTATCTCAATCTCTGTGTACTCTGCGCAGGAAATATCACAAAATATAATTATCTGCATATACAGATATTAATAAGGCTTCCTTATTTAACGCTGCAATATAAAGACTTCCGACAAAGAGAATTTAGCATAAGAATAAGAATAAGAATAAGAAAAGAAATATAAGTTGTTTATAAGATGTTGGTTTAAAGCGGAGAGGTTATCTGGTATAACACCATCAGAAACCTCGGCGACGTCAGGAATATTAAGGAAGGGCGGACAAACAGAATTTGCACTTGGTGGTGACAATAACTTATTTTTGACGAACACGTGTGTTCGAGATAAGCGATATGTATTTCGACGACACTCTTTTTAAAAACTGACTGCTCGACTATAAACGCGAGAAAGTAACCCAACTAAAGTCCAGTAATACACTAAAAATACCTTTGAGGCATATAGACATCGACTTTTGCGACTTTCTTCAAGCATATATAACTTTAAATTTTCTAAAGAGTTTTATCCTAATGAACTGTTAAGGATGTGAAAAATATTACCAAAAATATATAAAAAAATATTCTTAAACCTTATTTAATGTTTTATAGAACAGAATTAATAAAGGAAAAAAGATAATTATCTTTGATTAAGGGCCGATATCATAGTCTCCGATTAACGTGATTCTCCCTCCGACTAAACTCACTCTTCGTCTCTTTCTAGGGGGACAGTTTAGAAAGAGATGCAGAGTGAGTTTAATCGGAGGATTACGTTAATCGGAGACTGTGATATCGGCCCAAAAATGTTTTATTATGCACGTACCAGCACGGCAAAAAGGCACGGCGAAGCATGACGACGAACGACAAAGAGTGGCGCTCACTACGAATATGGCAACCTAACTTAAAATGTGCAATAAATAAACTCAACGAACATTCTAAAAATGTTCTTCTTTATTATAAATATACGACTTTTTATTGTAACATTTTACGTATATTCATATATAATAATATTCTATTCGAATATTCCAAAATTAAGAACATTCACACTTTGTAAGAATATTCATAGAATATTGTGTGCTATCTGGGTTATTGGCCCATTGATTATTATACATTGTTCGAGGTTTATCGTCATTTATCGAACTTCGACGCAATTTCGTAATTTCAGAGTTCGATCTCCTACATACGCGAGAAAAGATATTACACGTTGCGAACGTCGCGTCCTTCTTATTCGCAATATTACTTACATCGTAATATTATTTTAATTAATTATGCGAACGAATTAATGCGGAAATATGCGGTGGCTTGCGGTACGTGGCCGCGATTGTTTCTTGCATTAGCGTTTAGAAGTCAGATATATATCTGTTAAAATAACATTTTAAAAATTTAACGAGCGCGATAATTATTTATTTCAAATATTGATTATCTTGGATTTTGATTTAATGTAAAAAAATTTATATGTTACAGATCAACGCAGGGTTACAACTTCGCGCTGTTGCACATCGGCCGGTGAGTTATTTTTTTATTTCATTATCGAGGCAATGGTCGAGGCAATCGATTTGTAAAAATTATATTACAAGTGTAAATAAAATATATGTATGAAAAATGAGATATTATAAAAGAATCACAAACAAGTATTTTTTTCTAATCAATTATTAGACGTTATACGACATTATATCAAAATTTTTATTTAAAATGATAATTAATGTAGCGGTAAAGTGTTTTGTATTCTGTATTACTTAATCTCATATCTGAATATATTATTTATTCCTACAGAAAAAATTAAAACATTGAACATTAAGAATATAAAAATATATTACAAATGAATTAATATATTGTAATATATTATGATCTATTGCCTTGAAATGTGTGGATAGGCTCGGAAATGGATAAATTGGACCCTAGAAAATATTTTTGTAATTTATAATCCTCTACCACCACCGACTTTTCATTTATTTATATTTTACACATGGTTACGCGCGCTCAGCGACAGTGATACCTAAATATAGGGCCACAGCCTTATTCAGGTATCACTTGCCCATGCATCGATGCAATCGCGTGAGTTTTGTCGCAACTTCGTCGAAATTCGCGGCACGAGAACGTCTATAGCGGAGTCTCTCGAGACGAGTTGTCGCGAGAGCGTAGAAAACTGGAGAGTCGAAAGTTCAGTGCGAAAAACTGTGTTTTACGCGTTTCGGGATATTTGCGTTGCGACGATTTCGAACGAGGAAGGAGAGAGGTTCTCGTGGACACCGGACGCAGAATCCACGACGGAAGACCGAGGATCCGGTAGCCCCTATCGAATATCGTGCACGACTGGATGCCGGAAATCCTGTTCGCTTGCAGCAAGCGAGGGAAGGTATAGGTGCTAAATATTAATGGCCAATATTTTTCATTCTTGGAAGAAGGATTGCGCTGTAAATAAAATGCAGCAATACAATGCATCTCTCATAATAAATTTTTGCAATATTCGATAAACAAAAGTGCAATTTTAAGGCTAAATAAAATTGTTTTGCATATGCAACATGATAATAATTTCGACGTGATGCTAATTTCTAAATATATGTTTACACATACCGGTAAAAGAATTTTTTGGTCACGAAATCATAGTTAGGGTTTCCGGAAAATTAATTAATTATTTAATTAAAAATGCGTAAGGAATTAGATTTTCAATAATATTGAAGAAGAATTTCCTTTTTTACCGCATGATGATAGACTTAAGTAACGCAATCGCCTTTTACGTGAGGAAAGAAATTTTATTGGTAACGTAGGGACGTCCAAAAATATATAAACAGCGTGTATAAAAGTATAAAAAATAAATATCAACAGCGCACGCGCGCGCTGTCATTTCGTGAGTCTTATGGATAACGACGAGTCGGGGTCGCGACGCACTCTCGAACACGCGATCGGGAATGCCTCGTGAGCGCAGTCAAGAGTATATAGCTACGATAGTAACAGTAAGAATAATTTTAACAGTAGCGACAGGGAAAACAGGCGAATCGTTCACTTTGAAAAAGATAACACACGCTGAGACCGCTTTTATGATCTATTTATATCATCTATTCAGCTGTTGTTACGTGAATCACAGTATTTATAAACTTCTTGCTTTTCTGACGTTACAACCTTCCGACGTTATTAAAAAAACGCGAAATGTAGAAAAGGTTATTTCCTGCTTGGATTTTATTATCGTAGATCGCAAATAGAGATTGTACATTATTGCGAGATATTACTTCGATTTTTGGGACAGGACGCAGCATCCCCTCTTCAAAAGTGGTCGGGTTCAATCGCTAATAGTATAATCCGTGATTGTTATTTCGATAATTATAATTGACGCTGCATTAAAGTTATATTGATTTGCTATTAATTAAATGATTACATTACAGCATTCTAACACACATGCCTCTCTCTCACACATACCTATATCTACTTACTATATCCTGCGAGAGTTCGAAAGACTAAACTGTAAGAGTATCTGCAGCAGATATTGCACATTTTAGAATTTAACTTTTATCCTCCGATAATAATTAGGCCTCATTCTATTTCAACGAATGCAAAGTGTGCAGGAAAAAAAGAAGTGTCAAATCAACACTAATATACTTATATATACGCAAGAATATATAATCTTCTTATAAAAATTTTAATTTCTTATTTTCACTTTTTTTCTCAATTGAACTATATAAAATTTCGTTTAATTATATAAATAATTTCATTCAAGCAAGTTTCCTTCGTTTAACGCAATATAATCTCATTTCGAGATTATATATATTGTTGCGTATATACAAGTATATCAGTGTTGATTTGACACTTCTTTTTTTGTATGTGATATAAACGGTTCGATTTTTATATATATGTTACTGCAGTTTTATATTTAATTATGATTTTATATACGCAAAACTCTACAACAGTCGCTCTCTATAGATTCTGTGAAAAGTCCTCTCTTGATTTTTTGCTTTTTTTTCTTTTTATTATAAGCATAATGAAATATCATCTTGTCTCCGGCGTCAGGTCGAGATTTCGTTACACGTTCAGTCGCGTTTATTTCGGTGTATCGGCGTAAACGACGCGCGATCAATTTGACTTGAATATCTTCCAGTCCGGAGGGTTACATGGCACACATTCGATCGGGTTTCGCCGAGGATTCGTTATAACGAAATCATTCGCCGATATTCGCCGACGTTTCCGCGTGTTTACAGAATCTGATTTTGCGTCAAGAGCGTATTCTCCGACGGTGAGGAGTCTCTGCGTGCGGAAACTCCGTCGTGAATGCGACGTTAATTAACGTATAATTGATCGCCGGCGGTTCGCTGCTCACGCGAGGAGCTACGATGTCCTCCTTCGTCCTTATCGCTTAGCCGCACTCGCGCACAGCTCTGTTCCGCGGCAAACACTCGCTCTCGCTCTTATCATTTTAAATTATTTTCGCGGCCTCGTTTGCGGGGAGACACTTTTCATGGCAGTCGATTTGTAATCTACACTAATCGTCCCTAATTGACGGAGTCGATAGGCGATTGGGGCCAATCGCATGTGACGATATCACGTGTAAAGTTTTCTTAATTCGTATATAATGCTACATCTCGCATGAATACGCCAACGATAGTCGACGAATCGATGACGATATCATCGCGATTGTGGCGAGAAATAATACGGAAATTTCTCAAAGTCGTCGTGTACGTGTGTTGTGTGTTGTGTGTGTGTGTGTGTGTGTGCGTGTAGGTCCACTGACATTTGTTTTTAAAGACGCAGTTATTTTTAAAGTATATATAAAAAAAGAAACGTCGATAATATTTAAAAATCTGAATTTAAAAACTAAACCGTGGTTATTCCGTCTCGGAATGGCAGTGACTGACTGAATCGTTTTTATTCCATTTATACATATGTATATATGTATATCCTGAAATGTTGTGTGTTCTACCGTTAATTTGCCTATCAAACTACATCTCTTAACACCGTGCATGCGAGACGATCAACATTCTCGCAAACGCATTGACGATTACATTTTCACCGCACGATTCGATTCGCCACTTTCCGCAGGCCGACTAAATTAATTATCGCTCTGCAATTATGTAACATATTCTGAAGTTCATATTATTCATCAGCTCAAGGAATTCAAGAAACGTGTCTTTTCTCGTAAGACCCGTTCCATCTTCTTTTCGTTAACTTTTTATAACTTGTCTGTGGAGAATGTTCGAGTCTTCGAATTTGATCATATACCTAAATATATCATCTATAAGTGTCACATCTCAATTTATTACTCCTGCAATAAAGTCTTCCGCACAAGTATAATTGACTAAGATCTTTTTAATATCGTTAGTCGTCGTTCTTTCCTCTCGTTGATTCCAGGAAACTGTTGTAATAATTTTTCCAAAATCTGGAATCTCATGTGAGAATGCGAAAAATTGATTGAATTTCCCGGAATAACAAAATTAAATTCTACCTAGAATTATATTGAAGCGCCGATCGAAGTAATCTTCTCTATAGTCGTAATCTTTCTTGAGATCAACGAGTAGGATGACGATTTCTCGTACAATTCCTTCTCAGAATTCCTTCCAAGAAAAACATCAGAATTTCAACAGAAATACGGGAAATTTATTTGATTCGGAATGACATCAATGCCTTGATGAATGCTGTCAACAGCATCAAAAGTGAGTTAATTTTTCAGCTACAACGAAAACACACACGTAGTCACTTCTGTCACTATACTCGAACAATTGCAATGACGGTGTTCAACTGCGCTTCTCTCGATCTCTCGAGCAGTCCTCTTCAACGTCGAACTTATCGACGATTTTGATGAAGGGATCGCGACACTGCTTCTCCGCGATCGACCATCGACTGTCATTAGTGTTGAATCGGGCACTGTGATCCTCGCCAAGAGGACGCCTTTTCAAGGCCTTCTACGCTGGCGCCTGCACCACCTGTGGCCTGTGGATCGGCACCGAGATCACGTAGATGTCCAACTTCTCGCCGGACGTCTTGTCGACGATCTCGCCGTAGTTGACGGAATCGTAAGAAGGCGGAGCGAACAAGTGATAAGGCGGCGGCGGGGTCTCTGTAATTCCGGTTGTGTTTATTGCATCGGCACGTTGTGCGTAGGGCACCGTCATAGGTCGACTGCCTCGTCGGCAACACCATTCGGAGCAGCTGACGATGAGGAAGAACGCCACCAAGCCGCCGAACGAGCCGATGTACCAGACTATCGACCACGGATCCAACGGGTTCTGCAGGTCGCTGCCGTTGACTACAACAAAATGGGGACCTGTGAGCGAGGAGCTCGTTAATAATCAGAAATGTCTTGATTTCGCGAACTACGCTCATGCGATGAAATCACGGGGATGCAAGAATGGCATTCATGTAATGCCACAACAGAATGGTGTACTCATGTAGAAATTATAAAAAAATTAAGAAATGTATACTCTCTACATTTGTATGTGTGAATGGTATATCATTTCGAATATTGGAGGATTTAAGGATTATTGAGAAGTTTCGTGAATCGGAAATTTTGCAACGGAAATGAATTACGAGATATTTTTGACATATTGTTTCCGCGAAATCAAAGCGGTAATAAGAAATATCCTGAGTTGTGAAAAGTGTTAAGAGTCGTTTTCACTTGCGATCCACGTTACTCTTTTGTTGTCTACCATAGAAATGTGAGTCGAATCTAAAATTAGCTCGACGCTTCGCTGCTAAAGTATTAAGGAAATACCAATAGCATCATTATCTATTTTTCAAAACATATTAGATTTGCAAATATTGTTTGTCACCATACGCAGCGTGTTTCGTTATTCTATCGAAGAAACTGGTAGGTGGTAATAATAAAAAAATTGATTTCAAATTAACTTGACACTTTGCCGTTAAAGTATTAATGGAATGTCAAGAACATTTATTATTTATTTTGCAAATTTACATATTAGATTTGAAAATACTGTTTGTCATAGCGTAGCGTGTTTTTGTTACTCTATATGCATCGAAGAAACTAGCAGGTGGTAATATAAAAAACTGATTTCATATTCGCGCGATAGGATCAGATGCATATTTTGCACTCTTGGCTCTCTCGCGATATTATTGTCGCGTGGAAAGTTTCAAAAATTACACTCTTTTTCTCCCGATCAATGACGTGTACGCGCGGAACCGACATTCTCGATCGCTATTAACGCGTGGTGTGTACAATGCGAACTCAGAAAGACGATGCAAATGAAGATGGAACTACTACAGATTTGCATAAATCCTTGGCGCGTGCGGCGAGAATTGTTGTCTGCAGGTGTGATTTTAACAGGATGCGCGCGAACTTGAGAGCTCATGTTTCGAATCTCGTTTCGTATCACTTTATTCAGCTAACGATAAGCGCGATAAGATTCTTTATATAATACTGCTAATAATGTAGCTAGATATTTCAAAAATTACATCACACACACATTTTCGGTTATTCTTTACATCTTTTATTACATTATGTCAGTTTCTACTATTGAAAGTTCTATTCTACTGGCATTTTATGGTTCTGATAAACAAAGTCATATCTCTCGAGATCGTTCGTACCGAGGTTCGTACGGAGAATTAGATTAGCGCCGAGTTATAAAACAAAATATTACGTTGTGCCTCACAACAGATAAATTTGAATTTGACAATTTGTCACAGGAAAATATTACCGAGGTCAAGAATGTAGCGCGATAATGATGGAGCAAAGTAACATTTCGTAGTGATAATTTTCGTCATCACCGATGTACGTAAATATTCAACGAAACGCTGAAGGTCACTTGATTAATGAATAATTATGCTATTTTAGTGATTTTTGACCTTCAAACTTGATATTAATGTAAAACGAATGACAGAAACGAATGTAAACAGAACGAATGTAAAGTGAATATATCGTTACGTTTTTCTGTGCATTTGGCATCGAAATATGTACCGAAATATTATATTCAAAGGAGAGACGCACGAAAACGTGATCTCGAATTGCAACAGGAAACACGCGATGATCCATGATGACACGAGGATGGTGCGCGATGCTATTGCTATGAAGTCACTCTCGTGTACTAGTAAACATGATTCATGTTCTTACCGCTCTCTTCCGTGTCTCTTTCTTTCTCCGCGCTCTCCTCCTTCCCCTCGAATGCAATCACGTAGACCGTCCCGCCGCCGTCGACGTCGTCGTCGTTGTCGTTGGATTTCGAGTCGACCGATTGACGATTGTCGTTTGCGCCCTGAGTCGCTTTATTGCTCTCCATTCGTCTCTCAGCACCGATGCTGTAACTCGACACCGAGTGAGCTACGACAAATTGTGATTACTTAATTAATTGCACTTAACTCTATGCGCGTGAAAATGCATACATGTTATTCTCTCTGAGATCGTTTGCGCTTATCTCACCTTTTTATTACAAATATACTTATAAACGTAATAAATCTAGTATTTAGTTATATGTATAACTACATCACTATTTTCGATATTTAATAATTAATTATTCTAAACGTCGAATCTAATTGAAATATGATTATTACAATCCGATATTAAAACAGTAATATTTTATTTAAGTTACGTATCTGTTAATAATCTCTCTTTTTTTCTATTTCTTTCTCTCTTGGTTTGTTTTTCTTCGTTCTAAAAGAATTTTCGAGTGTCGAAATGCAGTATTTGTCGTTATTTGCTGATGTGGCCTGGCACATCATATTCTCGAAGATGCAACTGCAATCTTGCGACATATATCGTGCAAAATCTCGGGGCTAAACGTGTTAACACCGAATAAACAACTCCGCCTGTCGCTCGTTAACCTGTATTGAGGTACTTCACGTGCCGTTTGTTGCAATAGGCGTGAAGTCGATGCACATTGCACGTCGAATGGTCGAAGACGACGCCGTCGCCGCAGCCGGCGCCAGTCTTGCTCCGTCTTGTTAGCGAATGCGTATTTTTATCGGATACGAATAAGTGGGAGAACTGACTCGCGCAAACAGATATACGTAATAATTAATAACAGGTCACCGATGCCGCTGCCTACATTGTTTGAAAAGTTGCCTCAGAGACCTTAGAGTAACGAACATTTATACGTTAGCGATTTTGTAGACAAGAACTTCTCATAGCTGCTGCTTCCTTAAATGTCAGAAACGCGTATATACAGTCCGATGATCGAACGAATTCGATTGACATAATAAAGTTCTTCAATCTCCAAGCAATCTTCCAAATGGTCCCTCCTCTTAAGTAACGAGATTAGTACGTACGGCTAGCATGTTCGAAAGCTATTTCTACCTATCGCTGTATAAATAATTAATTTCGCTCGGCAACTTAAATCCGTTCTTGAGATGTTAGTCATGTTAGTATTAACTATCGTGAGGTAGTTTCAATTATGAACAGCTCGGAAGAGGTTTCGCGAGTTCATAATCGATGATTATGCATTACAAAGTTTTATCTTACTTGTATTATACAATAATAGCACCTACTTTGATATATAAGAAGGTAATTGTGAATAAAAAGACGGTTAATAAATAATTAATATCTAGTTATTTATTAACCATCTTTTTATTAATATTATATTTAATATTATAATTAATATTTTTGATAATATTATATTTTTATTAATTTTATTAATATTATAATTAATAATTTTGGTTTTTGGTAACTTGATTTATGTTTACATCGATGGTCAAATATTTCTGTTGCCGTTATTCCTTTAATAAATAAATAAATAAAACAATTCCCCTCGTTTTTCTATTGAATTGTACATATGACGAACATTTTATCGCCGCTCTGTGCTATTTTTAGCTTATTGTTAGGCGTTGCAAAGTGGTGAAGCGTAAAATCGATCGAAGCTCGGGTCTTCCTTTTCAAAGAGAAAGAGGGAGAGAGAGAGAGAGAGAGAGAAAGAAAGAATGCCGATATTGTTACTACAATTTCTTAAAGTGAGGCGTGGCTGATGTCTATCAGTTCTTCCAGAATCTCACGTCTCTACCCTGACACGATTATCCACTACTTAGCAACATCGTTGCCCGACCAGATTTCGCTTCGGTTTTATGGACAAAGTTACTTACGTGTAAGAACGTGTAACGAACCACGCTTAACGTTGCTCTCGCGTTAAGTGCAAATCCAATCTAATATGCTAATTTACTATAATTTTCTAATAGGCTATGAATACATTTTAGCAGATTGGAACATGTGTTAATTTCATTGTACAGACATTTAAACTTCATTAAAAAGCCAATATATCGGGTTTATTAAATATTCAGGATGAAAAATACCATTCCAATAAATAATTTGTAATTTAAAATTTAAATATTTCTTTTTATAAATAAGATACTGGATATAGAGATAGCGCATTAAATAAGAATTTTATGAGGGCAGGTTGATTGCTTCTCAGGTAAATATCATTTTTACGTTTATATAAAAAATTTGACATATTTTCAAAGACACACAAAAGAGATGCTCGATTTACGATACTGGCGGAAATGATTCTCTGACATTATTTTCCGTCTGTTGATCCGTATAAGTCGTTATTGAAGGTCGCTCATATAATTAAAGAAGTCACGAGAGAAAAAGGGGGAGGGGGAGAGAGAGAGAGAGAGAGAGAGAGAGAGAGAGAGAGAGAGAGAAGGACGCATCATGACATTGTATATGCACATTGTACACGTGTTTATGAGCGATATTCATTATTTCTCATTACTTGTCAGAATCCGAGTTGCGAAGCCTACGTTTCGTAGATCACGTACGCTTTTCCGTTAAAGAGAAACAATTACGAAATTTCAACCGGTAGAGACACAAGGGGCAATTTAAGTCGTGACAAATGAAAATCTCGCGATTTTTATAGGACGCGTGCGGTTGACGTAACCGCTAGTAATAAAACAGCTAAACATGTGAGAGATCTCGAATACTCTGTCTCTGCTCGCGATTTTCAATCGTCGAGACGTCGCAAGCGCATTATAGTCCATACGCCAGGTCGATTGAGCATTTTTATCGAGGTTGATGGCTTAAGTTAATGTTTTTTTATGTTTTTTGGGTCGCAGAACAAGAATTTGTAAATAGTTTTTTCGTAAGTCGATGCAATAAAAAGTTATTAACAATTTATTTGTTTAAATTGCCCTAGCAATCAAACTATACATCCTATAAAAAAATGAACTCGAGAAAATTTGTTCCTCTTTTCACGACGAACAAAATGGCGTTTGAATTTTTCTAAAATCTTGATTATTGACGGAAATATGTCAATTTTTAGGTAATTACTGCTTATGCGTCGCGGAGTACCCTAGGCGTGCGCGCTCGCGCTCAATTGTACCACAAGACAAATTTAGACAAGTTCGGAGTTTCAATTGTTTTAACGATACAATTGAGCGCGAGCGCGCACGCCTAGGGTAGTACTTCGCGACGCGTAGGCAGTAATTACCTAAAAATTGACATATTTCCGTCAATAATCAAGATTTTGGAAAAATTCAAACGCCATTTTGTTCGTCGTGAAAAGAGGAACAAATTTTCTCCAGTTTATTTTTTTTATAGGATGTATAGTTTGATCGCTAGGGCAATTAAACAAATAAATTGTTAATAACTTTTTATTGCATTGACTTACGAAAAAACTATTTACAGATTCTTGTTCTACGACCCAAAAAACATAAAAAAAACGTTAAATTAAGCCATCAACCTCGATAGAAATGCTCAATCGATTTGGCGTATGAATACTACATAATGGCAAACGGTATCATTAGCGTCGTTACGATATTATGCGATGGGCGTCGTGTTTACGTAACGGCTCTCTCTCTCTCTCTCTCTCTCTCTCTCTCTCTCTCTCTCTCTCTCTCTCATTCTCTTTCTTATTGTTATTGTTAGTCGTAATCGCGCGAGACACGTTCCAAGCGATCAATGTTTAAATGTTCAAACACAGAGTAGTCGGCTACGCTCAAAATGTAAATCTTTCGCCTATGCATGACCAATGACCGATGAAGCTCGCAAGGTTACGCGTTCCGTATATTTACGACGTGAAGTTATATTTTGAGCACACGTTCACTTTGATCGCATCACGTGCTGGAACTCGATCTCTGTCTGTCGATACTTGATGGCGTCGTCGATCGTCTTTGTCTGCTAGAACGATAATTATATGATTCTTATCTGCTAATTTGTGGTGTATAGATACGAAATACAGTACGTCCCGAGAAAGAGACGCAATCGAAATGAGACACTGCGACATTGTTACTTATATCTGACAAAGTGCTTAAAGCTCGTTAACTCCACTCTGTATGCTTCTTGTTTTATTCTTGACATGTATACTCTAAATGGGGTTCAAGACCGGTTTCGCACTTATTTGTGTTTATCCTTGAAGATAATATCCGTCACTATAAATGTGTATAGAAGATTTTATTTTTGGTACGATATGCTGGATTTTATTTCATACACATGAAATAGAGAGAAAGTAAATAATCACTATAAATGTATGTGTGTGTCACACGTTGATACTGCCGCGACATATTTATTGCATTATTGTTAAAAGCATCGTATATATACCTATAGGACACTTCACGTCGTTTCGCACTGACTAAACTCCTCGCACAAACTTTTGAACTTCGTAACGGAAGTCTGCTTAAAGTCTTCGCGTTCAAGCATCTCCTCGTGAAAACGACTCCTTCTGTCGCGCGGATGTTTGTAAAGTTTCACCTGACGCAAGTATAACCGTAGTACATCGTGGTTACGGAGACATCGGGTTGATCGAAATATTTGCGAAACTCCCGGCAGCAACGAAATCGAGATAAATCGCCGACGGTAGAGCGACGAGTAATATTTCATGATATCTTCCGGATAAGTCTCGTGAAGATTACAGGAATAAAGCACGATAAGAAAAAAGAATGTTTTACATTGCAGTTTCATTAACATATTAACCGTAAATTACATCTTGCGGTAGCCCAGAAATTAAATTTGTTTTACGACATTCTTATATCTTCGATCAATTTTTTTCTTTCTTTTTTAAGATCAGGTTAATTATAAGCTGTTTTCCGCAATATTTGAATTAAATTTTTTGAGATTATTTTTTTCTTTTCTTTTAATTCTTTTTTTCGTTGTAAAATCGGTCTTTTGATTAAAAGGTTTAGAAGGTACGAAGGCGATAAATATTATAAGACTCGCAGCGGTTGGGTATCATATCTTTTTTTTTTCATCTCTCATAAAATATATGTATATGTATATCGTGTGTGATGAAATATTCCTTATGCTATGTGCGTGCGTTATCGTAACGTGGAAAGATACATGCGTGTAAACAGCTTACGCGGGGTTTGATATGATATATTTTAATGATCGTATAAATCCGA